AATTTTTGCGATTTCTATTGTTTAATGTAAATTTGTCTTTTTAGGATATGTCGAGCCAACAAAAAAGGCGCAGTTGGAAAATTTAGTAATTAGTAATGAAGTAGCAGGCATATTTGGAAAATTATGCCGATAAGCAGGATGGAATTTGGGAAAGTAAGTGCATGGTTGCAGCATATCTATGTATAAAAAGTATTTAATTAAATTGTTTATAGAAATGTTATAAATCGAGTGGCTCATTTACGATGTGCTCCAAACATTTGGCGAACTTTTTTGCGCCTTTTCAACGTGCTAAGTAACAAGTTAAGATGACTGCCATCATGGGCCGGTAAGAAACCGCAAGCAAAGGGCAGACAACCTTCCAGGAAGCTGCCTCCTGTCCCCGAGCCGAAGCTGCAGTTCAGCAAGAGCAGGTCAGCAAATTGCTACCCTGATCAAACGTAAACTGAAGCGCTCTGCTGTGATTGTACTCCGTAAATGTGAAAACTTGGTGCATGCTGAGAAATATCAAACAAGAAAACTCCGTGATGGACGCCGTGAGATGGAGTAACGCTGTGTGGCAAAGAAATGCGGCCAATTCGACGGGCTTGAAAAATCCAAATTGGCTTTTGTGATCCGCATCCGCGGTATCAACAAAGTTGCACAAAAAGTGCGTAGTTTAACAGTTCTGTCTTCGCCACATTAAAACGGTGTGTTCATCAAATTGAGCAAGGCAACCATTAATATGCTACGTATGCCGAACCCCCTATATGGGTTTATCCAAATCTTAAATCAGTTTGTGAATTGATGTACAAACGTGGAATGGTCAAGCGTGTCCCAATCTCTGCTTTGTGATCGAACGCAAATTTCGCGAAGCGCACGAAATTCAGTGCGTTGATTCACTTCACTTCAAGAAAGCCCCCAACTTCCTGTTGCTATTCCAGCTCAACACATCAACCCGAGGCTGGCGCAAGAAGGCTAATCACTACGTTGAGGTTGGTGATTTCGGTAGCCGTGAGGATAAGATCAACAAATTGCTGCACAAGATGGCTTAAAGAAATTGTTGTTTGTTGTTGCGACAGTATAATTTGGCACATCTTCAAAAGACGCCCAAGCAAAAAAAAAAAAAAGAAAATTAAAAAATTCCTGAAGTTGCCTTTTCACGGGCCGATTTCTGCCGACTGGAAAATTTACTTAAGATATCGACTAGCCAAAACGCTTACATAAAGGCAGCCTAAATAACGTTCAAATTAATCATCCCCTTTGAGATGGGAAATACCAATAACCATTTCATAATTTCGAAAATTATTCCTTTTATATTTGTTCTTGCATTTTCCACACCACTTGTGAGCAGGGTTCGGATTTGCCTCATTTTAGCCCCTCGCTCGCTCGTTAGTTTGCTCCGAGCTAGCGCAACTCACGAGCAACAAGCGAGGCTGTTTGCAAACGATCACTCGTTAAGTAAGAGCGCACGGGCTGAGCATCCAGCGAGCGAGCAAGCAAACGAGGGCAGCGCAAGAGTAGAGCAGCAAGCAAGGCACTCATTGCAGCAGCAGACGAGCGAGGCGAGTAAACGAGCGAGGCAAATGAGGCAAGCAGATTAGACAGCAAACGCGTTGTTTGGTCGGCAAAAATGTATGGGATAACAATTGCAGCAACTAAGAATTTCGAGTAAAGGATTGTATGCACACATGCACATATGTTTGTATATACTTATGTATATATTCTCATGCACAGAAGAGTAGATTCGTGCTATTTGGACCAGTTTTATCTACTAGGTAGGCACATATGTGCATACATATCTATGTAGGTATAATGTTTTTAATGTTCAATAATTTCTTATAAAATTTCAACTTATACACTTAGGTCTCTTTTTATGCGGTTCTTTTTTATGCGGATTTGAATTTATGCGGTTTTTCAAACACTTTTCTCGCTGTAGCGATTTTGCTTTTTTGAGAGCTTTTATTACTTTTTTTCAATATGTAAGGGGCAATGCTTCTGATAAATAATTTGTCTTTGTATTCTTACATACAAGTAATTACTAAGTAATTTGGCTAAGAAACTATGTTACATATGTATAAATGAGAATATAATATTTATAAAAATCATTATTTTGTCTTTCATTTCATAAATGAGTAGGACATCAGCATTTTCAAATGAATATTCCTGGTTTAGCCCCCATACATATGTATGTAGGATAATACAAACTACTATTTGATAATTAAGGCCGGGCCCCATAGAACTTTCGCGTTGACTTTGTAGTTGGCGTTGGTTTGACAGAACGCAAGTTAAAAGTATGCGTTCTACAATGAAGCTTGGCAGAGACTACTTTGGCCACTAAATTAACATATTAACGAGAGATAAATTAATATTTCATATCAATAACTGCATGAAAACTTATATTCTTGCCTTCATTTCATTAAAAGGAAAAAACATTTCATTTAATTTTATTTATTTGCAACAGCTGTTGACCGACGCAGCGATCTTTCTGCTTTGTGTTGGCCTTAGCGTTGCCAAATTTTGGATATGTGGACGGCTGCTTTGAAATTCGACGCCAACGCAACGCCAAAGTTGTATGCGAACCGGTCTCTATTCTTTGTTTACGCAAATTTTCCCATGTCTACATATCCATATATACATGCATACATATGTACATATGTCCTTGAACAACAGGCCACAAATAAATTTTTTCACCAAGGACTATATTTCATTCAGGTATACAGCATAACTGCTACAAGTAGAAAACTATTTTGGGGGTGTTAACAAGTGTGTGTGTACACATGTATGAATATAACTAAAAAATAATTCATTCCATAATCTATGCTTATGTATGTAATAAATTTTATTTGTTCTTTTAAATGCTGTCCTAATATAATACTTTACATATATATATGCATATATACATACAATTATTAACATACTTTCGTACATAATCTATTGACATACATTCCCACATTTTTATGCACAAAAATGCATGTGTTGTATAGTACACTCGGAGCGCTCGCTCGTCGCTCACTCGTCTTTCCTAGCAGAGTGAGTATGCAGACATCTACTCGCCTCGCACTGCGAGCGAGGCAACACACAACAGCCTCGCTCGTTTAATAGGAGCGCGAGCAAACAAGCAGCGCTCGCTCGTTTGGCGAGCGAGCCAAACTTCTCGTGCCTCGCCTCATTGCTGCTACGAGTACGAGCTGCGAGCGCCTCGTTGTCTGCGAGGCATTGAGTAGGAGTTTGCTCGCTCGCTCGCTCGAACTCCGAGTTTTTGCCCACCCTGCTTGTGAGGTATGCTTTTACGCGCGGAACCGATTTTTTTTTTTAATGTGCTCGGTTGCCCAGGAGGCCTATTTTCACCTTTACAACTCAACTTAAACAGAATTAAAACTAAAGCATGCAATATATAAAGAAAATTAAAAGTTGTCTTTACTAGATGTAAACTTAAAAAATTGCACATTAAATTCATTTTTCATTATAAAACAAAATTAAATATCACAATTCCGTTGAAGTGTATACATATGTACATATTTACAAAATGTGGTCTATTTGCACCCACAGTAAGTTCCCATGAAGCCTAGCCTAAATTCAGAACTGAAAAAAAAACAAGCAAATGGGGTCGGAAACTACTAGCCCTAAAAGCATAATGTGGAAAATGTTTTAAGAGCTGCGAAATTGTATTGCAATAATAAAAATAACAGTGCATAAATTGGAAAAATGGCTTTTGTTTTGCTTTA